CGTATCATTGCGCGTGCTCGCGCTCCACTGAAAACTGAAAGTTACCCAACTCCCGATCTTGTCGTCCCCGCCGATGGATAGTATTATAACACGGGAAATAATCAAAATGATTGCTCCTAAGATTTCGTCATTCTCCGAACTCATATCCCAGACAAACCATTGTAGCTAAAAGATTATTTCGAGAAACGTATATGACTTTAGTATTAATTTACCTCAATTGTTTTTAAGTTTTTTATAATCTTTGCTGTGCATATGTACTTATGCACCGTTTTGATAGCGCCGCCAATGGCCATCACATGTCTCGCGACAAACCCACGCAATTATTTTGGGAACCACTCAACTAATGCTCGGATTCTTTCATTCTCGAGACAGATTCCCGTTGATTACATGTTCGACACCATAACAAATGTTAAGAATTTTACTCGAAACTAAAATAACAATGTTTTTAATTTATTGCGAATAGTTGGTTAAATTTACGGTACAAGAGACCACAAAAGACCGCTGACAATTCGCATTCTTTTAACTCTCAATACACAACTTCTAAAAATCTAGGTCGGATAGCAACAATAATATTTGTTTCGATAAGTAGTAACTATGAGTACACACATTATTTCATGTAAACGTAACTATCATAAGTAGCTTCAAAGTGATCTGTAGATTCGAGTCGTAATATTATGAATAGGCAATTATCCTTCAAGATCTCGAACAGGCATTGCTAAATTCACCATGTCATAAAGTGACCGAATCCACCTGCGGTACGAGTGAAACATGCAAACAATGAAATCAAACTTCCAATATTAGCACGTCATAACCACATGGATCTGGCAAGAGGACTTACTGGAATCGCTACGTTTTATAAATTATGCTGTATAGACAAGACAATACGCGCCCACTCTAACTCAACTAAGTACGTGATACATCATTTTGTAAATTTCTTTTCTTATGTTATTGAAAACTATGTAAATGGGTGGTGGAACGTTAGAATTACAATTTATCGACATCAAAGCCATTCTCCCAGGCGCTAATGCCGAATGCTCTAGGTTCCGAGAAGTTCGTTAAAATATTAATGAGCATGTTTAACAGAATTGCACAGTTGTAGACGTCACGGCCATTCTTATGATAGGGGCCGAAATATTCAACATTTTCATAAAAACACCGTATTTCCACGTTTATTATAGTTACCATCAAGGTTCACAGGTTATTTTAATCTCTGTTTAGACATGCGTCTAACTGATGGGGTTCGTGTAAATGGAAACTTTACAAAATATCGATTGTGTGGTAGCATTCCAATCTTCTTGCTTACAAATGATCTTCGACATGTTAAAGCAAACAGACAAAGGCTGTTCAGGGCTTGTTTGTTCGGTGTTCGTCATTTGAATTTTCCTTTGTTGCTTGTAATGTCTGGAAACCGGCAACTATCCAGCTCGCTGCCGTTGAAAATAATAAATATCGAGAAATTAATTTTGTATCTGTTGTATTTCTCAACACATGTACCTAAATACCCATAGAACTGAAAATGAATGGAAGTAGGAGTTCCTTTCACGTGAACAATAAATCTTGTGAAACAATGTGTTGTTTGTAAACTTAAGGGAAATACGGTGATCACAAATATAATTATAAGGAACAACACCTGCTCTGTTCCACTAGCTGACTCATACATTTGATTTTGTGTTAGTTTGCAAAGCCAGAAAATGTTAAAACCAGGTATTACTTTAGCTTACCACGTTGGAGGATTCCTGCACTGACTCTCGCATCACGATTCTCCTGCCTCGTTTCTGCCGGTAAACACTCCAGTTATGAAACTTCTCGTCATTATTTCTTCACCAATCACGTTTTAATTTAAATAAATCCCACTGACCTAATAGATCATTTCGCAACGTCCTATTTTCTGAATATCGCCGGATGTTTTGGGAACTAGAAGTCGAACTTTTTCCACGAACTTTTTCATTGAATCTCGACATTTATTTCATCTTTGATATGAGCTGCGGAAAATAGTATATTCATTCGTTTTAGCCAAGCTGTACTTCTACAAAAAATACGCAACTAATTTAGCACAAAACACCATACTTAGTTCGTTTTTAGATTACCAAGAGTGTTAAACGCCTAAATATTTTCTGGTTTTGCAACTAAACAAAGATCCATACGTCTAAACCAAACGTAAACTTATTCCTTGTCCAGAATACTCAAGTAAAATGTCAGCATTATCAAACAAACTACCCTCGTTAGTCATAAACTACACAGAGTTATATCGATTTAATGAACTCTGAATTAAAACCGGGCTTACTTAAACTAATTTTCAATACTAAACACTAAGAACTCTGAGCAACTTGTATTTTTTTCTCTCTTGACCATGACACATGCGCTACAATAGTGACAGTAGAATAAACAAACTTGGAAATATTTTAAGCCGAAACTCTATTTATAAAAGAAACGGATTATTCGTAGTCAAGATGGCACGTGAAGAAAAACAAGGAAAACATTTGTTGTGGTTTACTTTTGAAGACTTATAGTATTCAGACAAATGTTCTGATCTATCAAGCTTTGCAATTTTTTTAAGATTTCTTTTTTAGTTTGAAAATAAATAACTGATTTGCGCGTACAGCAGTCTTCTCAAATTATTATATTTCAGTACAGAATGTTAGGTTCAAATTAGTTTCTTCACTTCCGAACTCATCAATGTCTTATTTTTGTTTTAAGTTGCCTCTTTTAGTAACGCGAACATACTGAAACGCTTTTTTACTTGTGAGTGGAAAATCGTTGCAGGACTTCTCCCGCCCAGGGTAAGGCGGGGGAGAGTGTCAGGCTCTTACTTACTAAAAACCCCCCGTTCCTTCTCCTGCTCTAGGCTGAAGCCGCGGTGCCTTATTGCGCTTACCCCGCATCCCGCCCGGCTAAACATCAGCCCTATAGAGCACCGTCTGTGGAAAAACGCTGTCTATGCTATTTCTATCAAGTTGTTTCCTACCTAGGTACCTATCTATATATTAACTTTCTTGCTTCAATATTTTCGTAAAGGAAACCTTTTATCGCCTAACTTACTTCCTACCTACAAAGTAAGTCCAGTTTGCTAAAAGATAAAAGGAAAATATCTCAAGGATCTAATGTCATCGATGGAATAACAATGTGTAGATACAGGAAAAATCTTGTGTCAGTATTAAAAATTTATTTAAACTAGTTTTATAACTACTGTTTGTTGCTATTCAGGGTTTTCCTAATCATCTGAGTGACTTCAAATAGTTCCTGGGTTTGCCTAGCTACAAGAAGTATAATATATTAAAAATAAATCTTTTGTGGCATGTGATTGATGAAAACTATCTTATATAAGCATACGATATTTTTTAGATACTGTTGTAATTAAAATTTCGCGTGGCTTCTTAGAATATAAAAATATAGAGCGCAGTCGCTTTAATTCCCGATTTGTGTACTCGGGGTACTTTAACCTTTCAATAGTGTAGTAAGACAATAGGTGCGGGAACGCCGGCGTTCACTCGGGGTTTGATGAAATAATTATTATAACTTTAAAATATAGAGGTGTAGATACTCAAAATATTGATTTCGATTTTTTTTATAGAAACTATACAACAATAACCTTTTCCATTTTGGATAGAGATCGCTTATTAAATCTGATACTTACACTTAAATATCACACATTTATGTCATGCGGATCCGTCCAATCCACATCAGTTCAAAATGCCCTACAAACGAAACGTTGATTAAAAATACTTATTGCTTCGCTGCCATTTTCTTTTTACGTGACTTACTGACAAGTAGGATCTACGTACTGGATTTACATGAACCGATATGATTTATTCGTGTTATCTAGAAATCTTATAACGGACTATTTTTGAGCCTTCTCTGGAAATATGATTGATTTCTAGATATAATAACCCAGGTATTTACGAAGCGTTTTTTTAAAAGCACGGTTTTAACGTCGGCATATTTTTTTAACAGAACGCATTATGTTTGCCTAAACGTGATTGTGTAGTTATAAGACAAGAATACTCTTGGCAAAATGGTTTTTAAGAAATTTTGATAAGTATCAGATTTAATATGAATTAAATAAGTAGCCTTCTGAGGTTTTGCTAACAAGAGTCCTGTTAATCGTACTATTTATTTAAAGAGGCAGAAAGATTGAGTCAGCTTTTGTTCTATTTAATTTGAAACACACTTTCACGTACACTGCACTTCACTGATCACATGTGGACATTTTCTACGAACACTTGACGTACTTAGTTCGTTTAAGGAGCAAACAGGTACGCGGATCGACGCCCAGCACTGTTATATCGCAGAATATCGCTGCACCGGCTGCGAAGCTGCTCACTCGCCATACACAAATAAACCTCCTCCAATAATGATTACACAGCCACACCATCTGTTTACTATGAATTTTAATAACCAATTTTCTATTCTTATTGTTTCCTGTATCTGTGTATTCTATTGTTCTTTGATATTGCCGAATTTTTACAATTGTACTTATAACTTATTCAAAGATATTTGTAGGTGCATCGGCTACATTTTGTTCTCTTTACGACTTGGTACGACAGTCTTTTAGCCATATTTTAGTTTCGCATAGATCTTTCAGCGAAACCTATCTCTAGTATTGTTGAAAGTTGAGTAAAAAATATAGTATTTAACGTCATATAAGTTTTTATTAACTTTTATCAACAATATGAAGAATAAAAATGCATTGGAAGGAATGTTTGTTTTAAATACGTTCAAGATATTCCAAGTATTTCCTGTAGGTAACTGTAGGTGTCCTGTAAGCTCACAAAAAGTCGATGAAATCTTGCTAAGCAAAGGATTTTAGCATTTTAACATCTATCCTGCATTGCATTCATCTGAATTTGTTTATATCATCCAAACTAATATTTTTAATTCGTGTTTTCGGGATTTTCTTTTTGTTTAATTCTTCTATCATTCATGTGTTTCCAAGAAAGATTGTGATTCCATTTATAATTTGAATAGGTATAAATTAATTAATCATACTCTTTCCGTTCCAGATCGGTGCAGATGGCGCGAATTCAGCTGTGCGTAAAGCTATGGGAGTGCAATATCTATCGTGGAACTATGACCAGATGGGCGTTGTGGCGACGCTGAATTTAGCTGAGGTGAGAAAAATATCGTATAACTACTATTGTTATGACCGTCCTTTCTTAGTCCTTCGCAGGGTATAGCTAAACCTTCCACATTTATCACTTTCCATTGGTACAAACTGTAAGAAAATCCTTGTTTTAGTTCAATGCTTAAAGATGGGTCGGAGAATTCTCTGAACGATAGTTTACAGATTTTCTATAAAGAATGTTGTTGATATGCATTTCGGCCATTTTGCTTGCCTTTGCACTATGTAGTGGTTCGACATTGACCACAATGCTTTATAAAGTAGGTTTTTATTCAAGAGCTCTTCTCTAAAGATTAGGTCATGGGAACCCCAAATCATTCCATTTTTATGTTGTTTATTTATATGAAGTGCAAAACTTTGTAAATAATAACAATTCTTGATCCAAGGCTGTCCGGTAACAAGCGTACTATTAATAACGATTATCCTACCGGCAGATATACTTGTTATTCTTCACACAAACATATCTAATTATTTAATCTATAAAGGTAGGTATTAAGATGTTGAATTACACCTCGTTTGACTTATGCCCGGTTTCTGAAGGCGTCGGTTATGTTTAAAATAGTTGTTGGTTCAATAAAGTTATCAATAAGATAAACGTCGGTTAACTGTCACTGCGTTTCTGAATACGCAACGAGCCGTTCAATAACTATGTAAAGGATAGTAAGTTCCTTAATTTGCCAATAGATGGGTCTTTTAAGGATAACAACTAAATTTTGATTTTATTTATTCTATTTCAGTCTTATTACATGTTTATTAGGTAAATAATTTTTTTTTCAAAGTTTTAAGTTAACAAAAACTGTTTCATTTAAAATATAATGATAATTTGTTATTTAGCATTGGCTGTATTGAACACCGTCGCAGTGTGAATTAGAAAAAAAGAAACGTCAAACAGACATTGTTGTGGACGTGCGCTTTGGAAAACGAAAACCAACGATATCTTAAAGTATACTCTTCATCAGTAAACATTTCTAAAGGATTTCTCCTTTGTCTTAAGTTTCTGGGTACAGAAATACTAGAAATAAACTCTAGTACTTCCATATCGTACTCTGATGAACTGCTTGTATTTAATATGCTCCTATTCATTGCTCTTCCATAATTAGCAACTAAAGCAACTTTTACATATTGAAATAATTTTGAAATTTACCACAAAAATTGTATAGTTTGACATTCGAAACGTCAAATAAAGTTATGGAACTGATAAACGGCACCAAATGGCGAGTTAAGATAGCTTTAGTTTAAACGGAGTTTATCTAACAATGCAATGCTCAGAAACGTACTTGTAAGAGTTATCGAACCAATAGCGCTATCGAATCGATAAACTGCCGTTAACTGTGCCTCAGAAACCGGGCATTAATGAACTAGGCTATGCTCCCAACTTAGCGTCAAAGATAGAATGATGAGAATGTCAGATAGAAGGTACCCTGAATAGGGAAAGGTGGTACTTTTGTCACAGAAATAGGACAGTTCGATTTAAAAAAAATGTGATTTGATTAACTCAACTCCAATAAGTATTCAGTACGGACTGGTCAAAGAAATAGGCTTGTACTTCTACTTGTTTGCTATACTTCGTAAGTGTGGGAGAGCCATGCTTCGGCACGAATGGGTCGGCTCGACCGGAGTGATACCACGACCTCACAGAAAACCGGCGTGAAACAATCACAGTGTTGTGTTTCGCCGTGTAAGTGAGGTTACCGGAGACCCAATCCTTCCCCTTCCCAATCCCTCCCTAGTTCCTAAATCTCCAAATCCCTAATCCCTAAAAGGTCGGCAACTCACTCGTAACTCCTCCGTTGCGGGTGTCCATGGGCGGCGCTTATTGCTTACCATCAGGTAATCCGTCTGCTCGTTTGCCGACCTATTAAATAATAATAAAAAAAAAACTTCGGCACAAACAGGTCGGCTCGACCAGATTGATACCACGTTCGCACATAAAATTGACGTGAAACAGCGTGAACATTGTGTTTCGCCGTGTGAGTGAGGTTACCGGAGGCACAATCCCTTTCCCTCACCCCATCCCAACCCATAAATATCAGAATCCCTTATACGTAAAAGGCCGGCAAAATAATCGTTACTCCTTTGGTGTTGCGATGGACACCCCCATGGGCGGCGCCGATTGTTTAACATCAGGTAATCCGTCTGCTCATTTGCCGACCTATACCATAAAAAAACTACATACTTTTTTCTCTTCATATTCCAGGAATGTACAAATAATACAGCTTGGCAGCGCTGGATTCCATCAGGCCCCATCGCGATCCTCCCATTAGACTCGAAGCGAAGCTCCCTCGTTTGGAGCACTTGGCAGGACCACGCTAAACAACTGTTGAAACTACCAGAAGATCAGTTCGTTGATGCGCTCAATGATGCACTGGTAATAGCTTTACTTCTCAAAAGAAATTAAGGAAATATAAAATTTACCGCTAGTACGCCCATATCCTATCCTACTTATATTATGCACGATTGGCGCGGTGGCTGGGAAACTGGCTGCGGCGCAACATGTCACGGGTTCGATTCCCGTACGGAACAACTCTTTGTGTTATCGACAAATCGTTGTTCAGGATCTAGGCGTGATGTGAATGTGAAATTGTATCTTTTGTAAACGCAACCACGACACAGGAGAAAACCTTATTGTGGGGCAAAAAAAAATAGAAATTGTGTGTAAAATAAAATGAAAGTGGAAATTTGTGAGAATGTATGGATGTATGTAGCGGTTGAATCGCTTGGTTGAAATTTTGTATGTAGATAGGGGATACCCTGAATCAACACATACTGGCTACTCCCACGCGATTTCACCCGCTGCTCGGCTCGATTTGATCGTAGCGTTTTGTTTTAGCCTATAGCACTCAGAAACCTTGTAGCTATCTATCAGTGAAAGAATTTTGGCAATCCGACCAGCGGTTCCAAAGATTACCCCCTACATACAAACTGAAGGTTGCTTACCTGCTTACCAAGATACCACGCGTCAGAACAGTGAGCGGAAGCTATACTCGGAATTTTAATTCCATTCCAGATTTGACAATTTCAGTGTTGCAACGTTATGACACGTAATAAATGTGACGTTGCGAAATTATCCGATGTGGAAATCGAATATTTCTATGAATCGATTCCTCTCGTTTATAAAGTTAATCTCGTAAACTAAGTTTATCAGGAAATAAAATATTTCTGAACCGATAATTTAGTTTTGACAATTAATTAACGATCTGAGACTTTTCTTTTGTAATTGTGTGTGAAATTAATAAAAAATGTGATCATGAAGGAGCATAACACATAAAACAGAAATTTTATAAATTGTCGCCGTCATCGCTATCGCTATCGCTGTTACTTTCTGTAACATTTATTATGAATTGTGTCTGTGATGTTTATTGTCAATTAACATATCTAGCTTACTCATTTTTTCCTCTTCTTTGACAACATGGGATACGCATTTAGACTATTCGGTAGCCGTAATTTTTTGAATGCCGTCCTGAAACTGATTCACCGATTGTTTATCGATTTCTGTGTTCATCACTACACCGTTATATGTGGTATCATTATTTCACAAAATGACAATAGGTCATGTCAAATCAGGAATCGAATTAAAATTCTGACTATAGTAAAGAAATTCTTCGAACATAAGCCGATAGATGATGCTTATCAGAATCGAATGCAAGCAAAGTCCTACATCACGAAAACTTAAAAGCGTCAGTACTGAAAGCCGGTTCGTCATATATTCGATGTTATATTTCGAATAGAAGATTTTTTTGATTGAAATATGTTCCATGCTGTTATTTCGTTTCGTCTTACAAATAGATACAATTAATTTTCCACATTAAAATACTAGCGGGCAAATTTTGATGGACATCTTGGCAAACGTACACATATAATGCATTAAATCATTTATAATTATACAGAAATATATATATATATATATATATATCTTGATTACTGATTCTATAGACGTAGTCATTTTGTAATCAGATCTCGTATCGCAATCTTGTAGTAACATTATTAAAATACGTACTGACTTAAAAATATTTAATTTTACTGGCTTTAAATGGACGATGTCGTGAATGTCGTTAATATTTTTTGTGGACAGAATGTATTCTGTCCACAAAAAATATTAAACATTATATTGCTTGGTAACCAGATACAGCGCAGTATAGGTATATCGTTTCTCAAACTTCAAAATCAAAAACACATATTCCTACTAAACCATACACCGATACTTTTGAAACTTCAAAATATAACAGCATATCAGTCTGTTCGCATAGGAGAAGAATTATAATTTTGTTGCCTTTTAGGTTGGTAATCACAATACGTTTTTTTTTTAAATTAACTAAATAAGCATATCACTGACTTGTTCTAGTGGAAACAATACCCACGCAGTAGTAGCGTGGAGACAGTGACTTCATGGACGAGCTCCTGGCTCCGTCGAGTGGGTCTACCGGACGGGACATCGCGACAGCTTCCTCCCTCCATTTGCAGCATAGCTGCTAACTCCCGCGCCGCCTTCCCCCTGGCTTTTGGACATAGCACCAGATATATTGCACCGGGCGTCGCACTTGTTGGGTAACACGTCACCAATAGAATATATGCTAACATATCAAGTCATTAGTCAGTCAGCTAAGCTGATTGTATTTGTAAATATTTACTTATTAATCCAATCGTCACACTAGCGCCATCTCGTGAGCTTATCATTTAAAACATCCAATAAATTTGTATGGCCGACTTATTGTGTTGTCCTCTTTAAGACCTGTAACAATGATTAAAATAAATTTATCTTGTAGAGACGCAGCTCATCGAGTACATCCACTGGCTGGTCAGGGAGTCAATCTAGGCTTCGGCGACGTCTCAGATCTCACTAAGTTATTGTCAGATGCCATGTACAGCGGTTTAGACATAAGTAAGTACAGATTTGTATAAAGCTATGCAAAATTAAAGATAAATTCTAAAGTTATTTATCATATTATTATCATGACGTGTGTATAGATTATTTGTTTATTTAATCTATAATATAAAAATGAATCGCAAAATGTGTTGGTAAGCGCATAACTCAATAACGGCTGGACCAATTTTGCCAAATCCTTTTGTTTTGTATTTATTATTATCAGGAGAAGGTTCTTATGAAAGAAAATATTAGAAAAGTAGAGGGGAAATTGGGGAAAAGGGCCCCTTTCATTGCGATTAGCGAGATAGTTGGACCCGTGCGAAGCGGGGGTGAACCGCTAGTTCAAAATAAAATAACAGCTAATATCTAGTCGCCATAACTATAATTAATTTCCGACAGTTCTTGAGCGCCATCTTGTGATCGTAAAGTTGAAAACTTCCAGTGACAATTTGAGCCATTGGATGGTTAATACACGAGTATTTAGAATAGATGGCGCTACTTGTCTGTTTAAAAAAGAGGTTTTTTTAGAATTTAGGCTGTAACGCAATTGCCAGTCTATGTTTTCAAGTCTTGTATATGTATTTATGACCTTACGAGTTTGTTTGTGATCGTATCTTAATACGCCATAAATATGTACACAAATTCTAAGTATTTAGACTTAGTTTTTGTACTGTTACTCAAGCTGATTGTTCCAAGTACTTAGTATTAATTAAGCTACCGTTTACTGTCTATGATAATAGTACTTATGCACAAGGTATTGTTCTACACTTGACGACCCCATTTCCCGTTTCCTAATCGCTGGCTCCATCCAAAGGTTTGTAAGAAATCGCATTTAGCTATAAGGACGACCCATTGTGCATTATATCTCAAGCTTTGGTGGTTAAATATTCTTATAATTTGAATTGTTTCAGCTCACTCCGACTGGATGTCGAAATACGAGAGCACCCGACAGCGACACAATGTACCAACACAGGTTATGATCGAGATGTTACATCGACTGTACACCGTCGACCTCATGCCCGTTGTATTGGCTCGAAGTGTCGGCTTACAGCTCACCAATGCCCTCCAACCTCTAAAGGTATACCTTTGTTAAGTATTTCTACAGAATATAAAGATTATAGATATAAAGATATAAACAATATTTTAGTAAGTTTAATACCTAACACTCAGATATTCTCCTGCGTCTTGGGTGCGTTTACACACTAAGTAGGAGCATATAGGTAGGTATACACCGCCCCCTGAACCAGTATAACAATTCGTGGATCACACATAGTCCGTATCTTTCTATTCTAATTTTAAAAATGCGAAAGTTACGATGTTTTGATGTTTGTTACTCAATCACGCCAAAACGGCTGGACGAATCTGGATGGACAACACCGTGTGTCGTATTAAGGGTAAATTCCCCAATTGGACAAAACAATACATTACATAGATTTTTGTTGAATGAAAACTATCGTACTTAGTCGGGTCATAAGTTCTGTCAAAACCTTATATTTTTAATTTTCGATTACTGGCCAGAAATTCTTCGACTTATTTTAAAAATAGAACTTTCGCGCTTGTAGAAAATAAAAAAGAAATTATTTTTTATTCATTTTTAAATATGGAGTGGTCGAATAAAGAAGACAGAATCGCGGTTATCGCGTTGCACCGCTGTGGTTACGCGCCAAAAGACATTTTCAATATTCTTCAAAATTTGAAAATAACGTTACGGTTTGTTTATCGTACTATCAAACGATACACCGAAGAGTCAAGCTTCGAAGATCGTAAGAGAAGCGGCCGACCTCGCACAGTTCGGACACATAAGGTCATCAAAGCAGTGAAGGCGCGAATCGAACGAAATCCCGTACGTAAACAAAAAATCCTAGCTCTGCAGATGGGGCTAAGCAGAACCACTGTTAAAAGAGTACTAAATGAAGACCTGGGACTACGAGCTTATCGTAAAAAGACAGGACATTTTTTGAACGAGCGTTTAAAAAAAATTAGGCTAGACAGATCCCGCGCTTTGCTACGACGGTACGCGGGAAAAAAATACCGCGAAATTCTTTTTTCGGATGAAAAAATTTTTACTATTGAAGAAAGTTTTAACAAACAAAATGATAAGGTGTATGCCCACAGCAGTGAAGAAGCAAGCGCGCGTATTGCGAGGGTCCAGCGTGGGCATTACCCTTCCTCATTCATGGTTTGGCTTGGAGTCTCATATTCAGGCGTAACTGAGGTGTTTTTCTGTGAAAAAGGTGTGAGAACTAGTGCCGAAGTTTATCAAAATACTGTCCTAACAAACATAGTGGAACCTCTTTCTCAGACAATGTTCAGGAACAGGCATTGGATATTCCAACAGGACTCTGCACCGGCTCATAAGGCACGAAGTACGCAAGACTGGTTGATCGCTCGTGGAATTGACTTCATCCGGCATGAAGACTGGCCCTCTTCTAGTCCAGATTTAAACCCACTGGACTACAAGATATGGCAATATTTGGAGGAAAAAGTCTGTGCTAAACCTCACCCGAATTTGGAGTCTCTCCGAGCATCTCTGGTTAAAGCAGCGGCAGACATAGATATGAATGTGGTGCGTGCAGCGATCGATGACTGGCCGCGTAGATTAAGGGCATGTGTTCAAAATGGGGGAGGGCATTTCGAATAATGTAAATAAAATTATATTGTACATTTAATGACCTTTCATTTCATATATAATTTTTAAATAATTGTCAAAAGGCGTATAAGTTATTACATCAAAAGTTTGTGACAGAACTTATGACCCGACTAAGTATATTGTAGAAAAATATTCTTGTTTTTTTTTTTAGTGCGTCATTAGCAAGTTTTGCACTTAGCTTGAATTTTAAAAACACGCGATCACGCTTTTCTGACAAAACGTGCTAATTACTTATTTCTAATAATAACTAGCCAAAAACACGAAACATTTATACATTGTTATTATTTAGCTGCCAAAATGTTTGTTGTTCAGTTAGTGGTAATATTTGCACGTTTCGAAGTGTAGATCCTTATAAAGGTGAAAGAGGATGGAGCAAAAACGCCATCGTTATTATAGCGTGCGTTCGTGCAGCGGAATGTTGTTGAATTTAAAGATTTTAATTATGCAGATATTTAGTGTATGACGTCGTATAATTGTGTATGGTAAAAAAAATTTGTGCACGCAACCATTGTGGAGAAATTCACCAAAAACTGATTCCGCTGGGCGAACGTTGTCCTGGCGGAACTTTTTTAAATCCATAGACTTTAGAAGAAAAGAGATGTATCCAAAAATTAGTGTGTATTTGTGTGTAATTGTGTATGTATGAATAAAACTAGCGCATGCATAAACTTCGGAGAAATTCAAGTTTCCGCTACGCGAACGTTTGGCCATTAGCTAGTTTTCATATAAAGCGCTTACATAGAGAGCTGTAGATTTTTACATACGTTGTTTTGAATTTGTGTATATTTGTTTAAAAAACAGATTTAGAAAAAATCGTAGGGTTTAAAAGATAAAAATATAAACGTAAAATACGCTTATTAGGTCTTAGCTCTTAAAGTATGCACTTTAGGGTCTAGATTTTCACGTTTATACAAACCTTGTAAGTGTCTGCAACATGTTGCCAAGTATCAATGATGTTCCGTTAGTAATTAAATAGTTATAGGACAAATTTACCATGAATAGATCACTGTTTACAAAGCTGTCAAATATCACGACGTTCTAAATGAATTGCATGGTAAAATGTATGCCAAAAATTAGTGTATTCATTCAACAATACACATGCAAAATTTCATGTCATTAAATTCAGTAATTAAAGAAAAACAATTATAATACTGACGAAGTATCGAAAACCTACATAACCCGACCAAGTTCGGATGGCTACAAAAAAGCGGCTGTTCAATATATTTAGGTAACATCCCAAAATTTACAGTATAATACCGGTATTGAATTGGTACAGGTGATAACACACTTGTTGTTTCGAAATAATTTATAGGTCATTTATTTTTGGACACCTACTTTTTTAAATGTATTTGACTATGACAGAAAGTAGGTACTATTTACGTAGGTACTTTATTTAAGTATGCGCTTGAGATTTGAGATATAATCTAATTATATTTAAGACAAATAAAATTCATACAGCTAATTTCTATTGAAGATTTCACGGATCAGGATTCTAACTATAGACCCCTTAGGGAAATTAAATATTTACCACATGTAAGTACTTAAGTACTACTGTTTAGGTAAATATTTATCATATTGTAGCTTATTACACTATTTAACCAATATTTTTTATTACACTATTTAACCAATAGAGGCATGCACGAGCGTGTGTACGATACTGTGTTTAATTTTTTCCTAACGCTTGTGTACGAAAATGTACCATATTAATAAATGCTATATTGGAAAGTTAAGAACGTTTCATAGATATATGGCACGGCCGCTTTTTTGTAGCCATCCGAACTTGGTCGGGTTATGTAGGTTTTCGATGCTTCGTCAGTATTATAATTGTTTTTCTTTAATTACTGAATTTAATGACATGAAATTTTGCATGTGAATTGTTGAATGAATACACTAATTATTGGCATACATTTTACCATGCAATTCATTTAGAACGTCGTGATATTTGACTGCTTTGTAAACAGTGATCTATTCATGGTAAATTTGTCCTATAACTATTTAATTACTAACGGAACATCATTGATACTTGGCAACATGTTGCAGACACTTACAAGGTTTGTATAAACGTGAAAATCTAGACCCTAAAGTGCATACTTTAAGAGCTAAGACCTAATAAGCGTATTTTACGTTTATATTTTTATCTTTTAAACCCTACGATTTTGTCTAAATCTGTTTTTTAAACAAATATACACAAATTCAAAACAACTTATGTAAAAATCTACAGCTTTCTATGTAAGCGCTTTATATGAAAACTAGCTAATGGCCAAACGTTCGCGTAGCGGAAACTTGAATTTCTCCGAAGTTTATGCATGCACTAGTTTTATTCATACATACACAATTACACACAAATACACACTAATTTTTGGATACATCTCTTTTCTTTTAAAGTCTATGGATTAAAAAAAGTTCCGCCAGGACAACGTTCGCCCAGCGGAATCAGTTTTTGGTGAATTTCTCCACAATGGTTGCGTGCACAAATTTTTTTTTACCATACACAATTATACGACGTCATACACTAAATATCTGCATAATTAAAATCTTTAAATTCAACAACATTCCGCTGCACGAACGCACGCGTTATTATAAAATACCACGGAGCCCGATTCCCGTGCCTTTGTGTCATGACAACAAATTCACTTGTTTTTAAACTTTTGTTGTAGTTTCTTAAAAGTTTTGTACAGTTAGAGTTGTAAAAAAAAGGAAACCATAGAAATGTGTAAGGAACGTAAGAGACGTGGTCATTTTTGTGTCGCTAAAGGACAGAAAGGCATACCTATGTACTTATTTTTATTTAATACCCATCACTGGGCCTGGCTTCGCCTGCGATACTTGGATTAAAATAGTCCGTATCTTATTCCGGACTATATTTAATATTTGAATAATTATTTTTATATATGATTGTCCATTCATCGAGGAAGGCTGCAGGTTATAAACTACGAATAAATAACGACAGATAGGAAGCGAGCCGAGCAGCGGCTAAAAAAGAGGAGTAGCTAGTGCTGCATATTTATAATGTAGTAATCCCCGATAAATTTAAAGAAATCGCAGTCGATATGATAAACTTATCGAGTTAAATGCTCTGTATGCTATTTGCTCGTACCTAACTGTTTCAACACACATCGTGGGAAGTTCAATGAACGTGTGTATCGTGTGGGAATTTACTTCACTTACAAATCTTGCAATAAGTGTTTCCTAAGTCAATACATAATACACTAGCTTCCGTCCGCGACTTCGCCCGCGTGCTATGTTTGCCTTTGTCCTATTCCGGAGTGTATCCTATGCCTGTGCGAAATTGCATCCAGATCCGTCCAACTGTTTTGCCGTGATTGAGTAACAGACATCCAAACATCGCAACATTCGCATTTATAATATTAGTATGAAGTAAGATTTTAATCTTTTTAAAAAATGTTAAGACTGTCTTTCGTTTGTTTTTCTTGGTTTATCAGAAATACCTAAGTACTCAATGAAAGAGTTGACTTATAAACTTGTTTAAGTACAAAAATACTGATGTTATCACGATTTATGAGAATTATAAATTTTGTAGTTAGGTATATTATGCTCGATGACGAATGAGTTATAATTGACGTTTGACGTCATACTGTGTGGTCGGCTCGTGCAATATAGGTATATAGTCCATATGACCAAAACTTGTCCCAATTATAATAATGTTGCCTAGTTTCATATTTCGAAAAAAAAAATTAGCTAAAGTAAAAGCCAACCCTAATGAAAACAGCTAGGCATAAAAACCGCGATTTTATGTAACGTTTAATTCGCGTGCGATGATGGCACAATGTCTTACCCAAGACGTCCAAGAGTGCAATCATTCCGAGCCTGTACTTTCATAACATTGATTACAAACATACCTACCTACATTACATTATTTACACAGAAACGTAATCCTTTATACCATTGTCAGTATGTATATGTTTATGTTTGATTGTTTTAATTTAAACAGCCTTATTGAATGGGCATTCAGAAATAACTATGAGCTCAGGTTATTTTATTATCATAACGGTCTGAAAAAAGGTCATTGTGATGAAGGAAACATTATGAGGAAACATGGACTTTATAATTTGAAATCGCCAATCCACTTTGGGCAAGCGCCTAACCATCTCTGTGTGAGAAGAGGCCTTTGCTCAGCAGTGGGCACTTACAGGCTGGTGATGTAGTGTGTGTTCAGTCCGTTTAATACTTGTATCATTTTGTCAAAAGTAGATTAGCCATATCAAAAAGGTTTTAAAGTTTGCACCCCCCATTTTATTGAACAATATAATGGGTGGCTCTTTTTAGTACCGCTTCCCAAAAATACCATGGCAATCATCAGTTTCTTGTAACTCAGTTGTTTTTACGGGAATTAAGGTAAATGATATTTATATAGGATGATTCACCTATTAAACATAACGCATTGTCTACTCCCCAGAAACTATTAATCACGCGTGACTTATTGCACTATTCTATCTTTACCTTGTAAAGAATGGCATTGCTATGCCAGCCTATAAATTACACCATTTTTTTGACTTGTCTATGTATTTTGCTTTTTAGTGTTACTTTATTTCATGAAGTGGTCTGTTTTCTTCAAATACAAATGTTTCTTAGTTTAAATTTTTCAAATTCCAGTCCTTTAAATGACTAAAGAATAACATGGAGGTAATTTTCTTCTCCTGTCCAGGGTATGGCGAAAGAGTGTGTCAGACTCTTACTGACTAAAAACGCCCCCGTTCCATCTCCTGCTCAAGGCCGAGGCCTTACTTATACAAATTTAACACTACCATTTGCTCATATATTACATATATTCCTATAAATAAATCTTCGTTAAAGTATGCGAGTGACGTTTTAAGGAAGGAAAAATTAACCGAGGCAAGCAAGACTTCCGCTTAGTCTTCTATTAAAAACTTGCCTTGAAATCGTTGGAAGTTCTTTAGCCTTGCTTTAATTTCAATCATGTATCGTATTTCAAAAGCAATAGCGTTGAAAATGCATCGTACATATTTTGATCGTTGACGTTGATGTCAACAAAAGCAACAATAAGGTACAAAACGACGACGGGACCGTTATTCCCTTGTGAAAGTTAATCAGTAGTCTACGACGACATAAGAGAAACTAAACATAAATTAAAATGACTCATACTGCCTGCACGCACAAGCCGATATTGTTTACAACATTCATTCGAAGGCACCAAAAAATAGCATACCACCTCCTTTTTTTATTTTTGTTTAATCTGGTAGTCAGAGCTACGCATTAGGTAAATAAAATAAGCGTATGAAGTACTTATCAGCACTTGTTTTCTTTGTCAGCAAATCAATATTCCTCTGACTTTTGTATAAAGAACTATGTAGGTAATTAAGATTATAATTAATTATTTCGTATAATTTTACAATGTATTTTTTATCAAACACAATCATTACTTTTTCGGAATAAGAATATAATTATATATAAGAATCGAATTTTTTATTTCAATATTATTAAATATGTTGTACAATTATCTATTGTTATATTTATTAGATATTGGATAGCAAGACAGCGCTAGGCAGAAGTTCCTAACGATATTCGTAGAAAAAGGTCATTCCTAATTGTGTACTTTAAATAAATCGTAATTAAGTATAATTTACTTTGTTACAGAAAATGATTCTGTCTCATGCAGCAACATAAAGCTATTTGAGTTTGAGTCACATGGCGGAATGGAGATTGCTTCATGGTTCAATGTTTTATAGGGAAAGGTCACAAGCAAAGGCGAAGGCATTGGAACTATTTGTTGTATTATGTAGTTTAATATATTTATGTTGATTTTTATACACGTATTTTATTTATCTTTCCTTAATTAATTTGTAAACATAAATCAGATTTAAATATATAATAGTCATATTGACAAAATTATAAAAGCAGTAATGGGGAGTGTACTTGGAAATTTAACAAGTAAACCTTGATAACAATGGACTCTGACATCATAGCAGAATTAAGTAAGATCGAGGATGCTTTTTCCCTACAAAAATTAGAACAACAGAAATATGTATTTGGACTGGAGGGCAAACATAGGATTTAATTTTGACAAAATATATAAGTAATCATTAGTATTATCAACGGTTTTATAAGGGGAATGCGTCATTACTAATCGAGTAAACTATTATGTTGAAAGTATAATTAAGTATCTATTAGGCCAATATTCTCATTAAATATATACTCATTAAAAATGTTTTCTAATTATACATTAACTAATTATAGGTAATTCAAACTTTAAAAATAAGCAGATCTTTTTTATTCAATTATGTTTGCTCACAAATAGATGAAGGTATAATTTTACCCTTGCAATATGTAAAAGTATTATAATAATTATATGCATAAGGAATCTTGAAGATGCAAACAACCAACTCCGAGTCCGAACTAATACCTACCTACTGGCAGTTTTGAAAGGTAAATAACATTGTTGATTGTAGTGTTCTGCCCTATTTATTAAAAAAAAATTGTATGTTTTCATCATGACATAAACGAGGAGAAAATATAAAAAAATTAGGGCGAGTCTTCCCGGACTTCAGTGAATTTTACAAAATTAAAAATGTCGATCGTTCGTCGTTTCACTTTAGGGAGAAAAACTAACAACCATTAACATAAACAGATATCAGCCTATAACTTCGTACCTATGTTTTACATACTCTACAACTTTGACCGACAACATTATCAACACTGATAAGCATTTGATAACGATAGCCTACACGGAATTTATGACGACATAATTTCCTGGTTTGTGTACATTTAAGTACTTACTAGAATTTTCGTCATATTGTGAAAATATTATCTATCAAAATAACATAAGATTTCTAGAACATAATATAATCTACTTCAATTACTTAGGTGCCTGCTGATCAGTTTAAAATACTACTGCAAACACTGAGATATTCACTGCTGCGTAGTACGCTAGTAGGTAATAATAGTTCAATGACTGCAAACTACAAATGATATTTGTAAGTAGCGTTGCCAGGCGTCCGGATAAAGCCGGACATAGGTAGGCTTTTTGATTGCTAGTCCGGCCAAAATAAACGGTGTCCGGCCTGTCCGGCTTTTGTTAGGCTTTTTACCTAAACTTTTCACAATCGCAAACGAAACACCAAACATGGCTGGAGTGAAGCAAAGACTTAGACTTATTAATTATTTCATAAGAATTCAACAAGATTTATGACTTTATGACAATAATCAAAATGCTTGATTTACATTAAATCTTGTCGTACCTATTAATACTGAGATAAAAAATCCTTAAGAATGTAGTATGTCCGGCCTTTTTAGCTAAATGTCCGGCTAAACGGGCTGGTCTGTCCGGCTATAAGGCCTAACGACCTGGCAACCCTATTTGTAAGGTAGCTTCTAAAATAACACGTACTCCGGACAGGCAACGTGTTAAATGTCAAATACTTATTTAAAATTACGTTGTTATTAAATACTGGGTACAAACGGTGGGTACTATTTGCTTTGTCATATTTATTTATTTGTTTCTTGTCAAGCATTTTTCATTACAAGATATTTTACGCCGTAACATTTTGAGACAGAAGGTTTCTCAGCTACCTGCGTCCATAATCCGATTAGGGTTACAAACTGTTTTGTAAAATCTTTTTTCTGAATACAAAGTCACGCGTTGTCTGCATAACGTTCTACGTAGTTTTATTCCTCTTTTCTACGTAGGTATAGGAGTTAGTTAGTCTTTATACGAAGTCTAATTCTGAAAATATAAAAAGAAACTCATCACCCCTTATTACAAAACAAGGTTTATCTTTAGTCCAGGTTTAAACCATTGAGTCGTGTTTTGAATTTTGAATCTTATTGTCATCTTCCTTCAATTCGAAATACGAAAACTGTCCCAATGGTTTAGTCCTAGACTAAAGTAAAACCTTGTTTTGTAATAAGGCCGATCGTGACGTTACTCACGATGATCAAACCTACAAGATCAGCCTTATGATGGATACTATGTAGGAAAAGGGAAATAATAGTCATAATGACATCGACAATGTATTCATAGACTTATTCTGTATCACCCAGTGTTTTAGTACGAAAACCAATATCATCCTTTTTGCCAGACAAATGGGTTAGGTAGCTAACCCATTTGTCTAATAAAAAAAGGCCCTTTTAAAGTTCACGAGGTCGCTTTTTCCGTTGATATATAAAATAAACCACCTTGTAACTTCTTTTTAATAATAATTTTTACAATACTAGTGTTAATATAAAGTACGTTGCATGCAGCTGCAAGCTCCCCTACCCTTCGGCCACGGACGGAGCGTGAGACCGTTGGGGTGACGTCAGAAAATGGCCAACTTCCAACCAACCTGTTTCTTTCCAATCTATTGAGAATAACTATACAAGGCAAAACCATCCTAAGCGTGATAGTCAAAAGGTTGAACATTTAATGGATAAATGATAACGCGGACGTTGGTATTTCATGATTCAGAATGGGATCATTAACAAATAATATGATTCATCATTCTACTGCGTGTGACTCGAGTTTTACAGAGCAAACAATAAATTTGTTATGATTCTTGTTATAAACTCAATTCTTGCATTTCGCACCAACCCAGACAGGTACTTGCGAAACTAAAAACTAAAGATACTGGCGGTATTGTAGCTGTACCTACTACTTGTACAATTACATTCGTATAGCTGTAAAATGAGATAACGCTCGATTTTGCTAGTAACGAACAAAGTATTTATAGCCAAAACAAAAGCTATTGTACCTACTTATTCTATTTTGCCTACCTACCTCTATACCTATATATTAAAATGCGTCGTACCCACTTATGATGGTACGTACTTACAGTATCAATGACACACAGCTGTTTGTAATGCACCTATCAGTAGAAGCCGTAGGAGTAGGTAGTATTCCTTTACTTATTTACAGGCAGATCTAATTCAATAAACACTAAGTGAATTATCATCATTCTTTGTATAGGTACTAGACTGTTTTGATCTATATAGTACCTAGGTACATTCCCATACCAAAATGGCGCCTAAGAATATAGGTTAATTAATTCAAGTCAATTTCTCAAGTCATATCAAAACCCTATCCAAAACAGTGTTATCTATTCAGTAACATCCATGGTAATATCCACTAATGCTATTTAGCCAGACAGAGTATACTTAATGGCATCTATTTTAAAAGATAGTGTACTCAGGACTCAGACAATGGTATTTTTTGTTACTCCTATTAACACAACTAAATAGTTAAAATCACACGTGTCTTCTTCATCTGTAGTGTACAAATTATTAAGGTATGGGTTTTGAAATCCAAATTCAATACCCAAATACTTAAGTATTCACTTATTCATTGTTTATGAGAGGTACTTACTTATGTATTAATGTTGTATGTTAAAACAATTTCATACGTCATCGGAAATATCTAGAGTGTGCAGGGGAGCTTGCCTCTGCCCCCGGCCCCCGTCCGTGCAACGAGGACAGACGTCTTTAACAACTCCCCAACTCCCCTCATTTACCCCTCATACGTCTGTTTTGGCCTCCCAAACGGAGCCTCTTGTTGGATCAATATCCTCCATGCGCATACCGCATAGTGTTCTCTCTTTCTCTCATTCTTGCGGGTCAGAAGTTTATTCCAAAATGTTGTTTATGGAACCAAAATATATATAATGTTCTTATTTCACGTTGGTAATATAAATGCAAAATGCGTTCATTTGCATACATATATAAGCAAATACAGACGAAAAAGATAATAATTGTATATTATGCCAAAACACAGTGCTAGTGTATTGCAGAATATTTTTTATAAAGATGTGAATATAGAATGTCATAATACAATAGTCACCAGTATTTTTTACTAACTTCAATGTTCTTAAAATCATGGGTAATATACACTAAAATCACTCAGACATTATTAAAATAATTTTCGGCAGACCTTCAATGTTTTGTCTACACTACAAAATTTTCGAACAATGACAAAATGATCGTTATTCTTCGGTTATCACCGGCAATGTTCGGCCATTGTTTTGCCGTTGGAATGACGCCATTTTGCGGCCAACTGCGCAGTGCGGCCCCCCGCCTCAGGTCGAGTATTAAAGGCAGCCATGACGTCAAGCGCCCACATTTTTAAACTCGACTCGGTGAAGTGCAGTTGTGTGGATCTGCTGTGTAGTGCTGGAGACTTCAAGAAGTGATATTTGTGCCTGGTCGGATACAGGTGTGTAGTATTGTCTCAACAAACAGTACTTTCTGACCCATCTTTAAAAATGGGTTACAAGTCAAATGAAAAGTCTATCGTTGACTTTTGTGAAAGTAAAACCGAATCCTTATCCAATTGGGTTCGCCAAGTTAAATCCAAATCCCTAGACGCCAAGACAAGAAGAAATCGTGATTTAAGAATAATCGCCATTTTGAGCAACTCTCTATCACGTGCGGAGAGTGAGCTCTTATCCAAGCAACGAGAGCGCGCCAGGAGGTGGGCTCAAATGCAAGCTGATCTTGGATTACGCAACAAGGAAGAAGAAGTCGCCAAGCAACAACAAGAGAAAATCGATAATTTCTGGAAGAATGATCTCAGCGGCTTAGATAGTTTTTTTAGAGAATTAGACAATGTCAAGCCATCTCCAAAATAGACTGTCTTAGGTAAAGTAAAGTTTTTTGTATCTGTGATATTATGTAGGATGTTTTTCTAAATTACAGTCCCATTGCGTTTCGCGTGGGCCTGCATCCGTCGGCCGCCATCTTGGTTGCCGCTGGGGCGTGGTCGCAGATAACTACAAAATGGGTTTGTAACGGTATCATGCATTTATTTGTTAATTTTTAAGTGTTTCAATTTATTCTCTCGTC